GAGAGAGCTTTCTCTAAGGGCGAAGGCACAGCAGAGGAAAGCAGAACTAAGAAGAGACAGAGAAAGCGAAAGTGAGAGAGAGAGAGAGACATGAGATGACAAAGCGTGGGTCCTTGGCTCCTGCTTGGTGTAAAGCTAGCCTGCTTCTGGGCTTTAGAGATAATACAGTCTTTCCTCATCAGGTTAACCTGGGTTTTTGTGGCTTGTAACCAAAAGGGTTTGCACGCCCCTCCACACAAGCTCCCAGCTCATTTCCTTTGCAATGAGCAGTAGTAACTGGAGGTAGGCGGGGTGGGTGGGGGGGAGGTACATGGACCTACCTTGCAAGGCTTCTCTCTGTTAGTGCCTGGAGCCTGTGCTCTCAGCCAGCACAACCAGGGTGACACATTAGGCCAGGTGCATCCTGGATCTGCCCCTTTCTGGGTGCAAACCTGAACTGTGGATCCCAAGGTGGGGAACGTTTTCTGCCTCAGGGCTGTGCCCCTGCTACCCCTCTGCCTAAAATTCTCCCCTCTCTATGCTCCCAGGGCCAGCTCCTTCGTATGTACTGCAATTCTTTGAATAGCGCCTCCTCTGAGAAGCCTTCCCTGACCACCTGGCTGAGGACACCCTTCTGTCTCAGCTTCCATTTGCTCTGGGAGTGGCCTCCTGACACTTCACTTCCATGAGGCAGAGACCAGCTGGGAGCGGGGAAAGTGTTGGGAGCCAACTTACCCCTATCAGCAGGTGGAATGGGTTTTGCTGCTCCAAAACAGAGTTCTAGCTATGGGGGTAGCCACTAGAGAGCAGAGCTGAAGTCATGCTAGGCTGAGGGCCTCCCAGCCTGGAGCTAGTGAGCGGGCTCAACCTAGGAAGGGGGCTTGGTTTGGGGACTTTCGAAGGGAAGGTCATTTCTTGCTCTTATCATGGGAGCAGCAGCTAGATGGGTGGGGGCACCCATTCAGAGACATGCTGCGGTTTTAAGCTTTGACCAGCCCAGAACACTCGTTCCATTTGAGGGTCTTGATATCAGGGTGAGGGGCCAGGAACCGGAACCTATGGTTTGAAAGCAAAGAGCGGACAATCAAAGCTGAAACCAGGCCCGCGACTTAGGAGCTGGAGAGCACACAGGGCTGAACACATGACTTGGGGACCAGGAAACCAGGAAGCAAAGTCTCCAGGGCGCTTCAGCAAAACCCTCGATGGTCTGCAGGCAACACGGGGTGATGAGTGCAGTGTGGTGAGAAACACATCTCCTTTCTCAGGGCAACGTTTTCCAGTCCTTCTGAGTAAATCCAAAAGCAGTCTCAGCTTGGTGATCGCAGGTCTCTGTACCTATTTCTCTCTCTCTCTCTCTATCTGTTTTAACAAAAGTCTGTCAGCAGCCTCAGGCTCAGGACCTGTCTCAGGTAAAAGCCTGTTAAGTGTAATAACAGTGATCGGTTTTATTGTGTTTATTTTTGTAGCTACTTTTTTTTTTTTTTTGAGATGGAGTTTCGCTCTTGTTACCCAGGCTGGAGTGCAATGGCCCGATCTAGGCTCACCGCAACCTCCGCCTCCTGGGCTCAGGCAATTCTCCTGCCTCAGCCTCCTGAGTAGCTGGGATTACAGGCATGTGCCACCATGCCCAGCTAATTTTTTGTATTTTTAGTAGAGACGGGGTTTCACCATGTTGACCAGGATGGTCTCGATCTGTTGACCTCGTGATCCACCCGCCTCGGCCTCCCAAAGTGCTGGGATTACAGGCTTGAACCACCGCACCTGGCCAGCTACTTTCTAATGATAGCAAGTGATTCTGAGTTTCCATTTAGGGTAGTAATAGGAAGTTTCTTTTTCAAGTAAGTGTGCATAAGTCAAAGGAGACTGCTGAAAGGAAAATGGCATGTTGTTAGTAGACCAGGCTGTGCCATTGTTGGGCTGCAGAAGGAAGAGGTGTGGGCCACACAGGAAGTTCTGGGAAAGCAGCTGAATGCAGGTGCTGCCTGTGGACCAGAGAGCATCTGGAGGTGTGGCTCGGTACAGCTTGGCTTTTGAGCCCAAGAGATGCCTGCTGGGGATGTGTTAGGAGCCAACCTACCCCTACTGGCAGGTGGAACGGGTTTGGTTGCTCCAAAAGGGAGTTCCAGCTATGGCGACAGCCACTAGAGAGCAGAGCTAAGGTCACGCTAGGCCGAGGGGCCACAGTCCACCCTGAACTGTGCCTCCCAGTCTGGAGCCAAGAAGCTCAGGGAGGCCAGTGGCCCTGCCCAGGCCTCAGTACTGACCCTGCACCCCCAGCCCCAGCTGGGTGACCCCCAAGGGCTTCCTGGAATTTGAATGCAGGGTTGTTCTGTGTGCGCTGCCTCTGAGAGCATGTCACTTTGACGTGGACGTCTCGGGTCCAGTCCTGGTGCTGTCCCTGTCTTACCCTGTGGCCCTAGGTGAGTCACCTCTTCAGGCCTTGATTTCCCCATCTGTAAAGAGAGATGAGTGAGATGACCTTTAAGGGCCGTGTCAGCCCGTTGTGCATTGCTTTACAGGAATACCTGAGGCTAGGTCACTTAGAAAGGAAAAAGAATTGTTTGGCTCATGGTTGTACAGGTTGTACAAGAAGCATGGCGCTGGCATTGCTTCTGGTAAAGCCTCAAGAAGCTTCTGCTCATGGTGGAAGAGGAGGGGGAGCTCGTGTCTCACATGGCAAAAGAGGGTGCAAGAGTGATGTCGGGCTCTTCTAAACAACCAGCACTCAGGTAAACGAAAAGAGTGACAATGCACTCATCACCACGGAGACACCAAGCTATCCACAAGGGATCTGCCCCCGTGACCCACACACCTCCCACCAGGCCACACCTCCAACACTGGGGGTCACATTCAGCGCGACATTGGAGGCGACAACTATACGTCCAAACCATACCAGGGACCCATTTTGGTGAGGCCACCAGGGACCTATCCCTTCCCCTCTCCTCCACATCCTTTAACGTGGGGCTCAGCAAGGAAGGTAGTGCTTGGGTCAAATTAAAGCCTGGGCTTCATTTCCTGCTCCTGTTATGTAGCCCAGGCTGGAGTGCAGTGGCACCATCTTGGCCCACTGCAACCTCTGCCTCCCAGGTCCTGGTTCAAGCAATTCCCCTGCTTCAGCTTCCCGAGTAGCTGGGATTACAGGCACACGCCACCATGCCCAGCTAATTTTTGTATTTCTAGTAGAGAGGGAGCTTCACCATGTTGGCCAGGCTGGTCTTGAACTCCTGACCTTGTGATCCATCTGCCTTGGCCTCCCAAAGTGCTGGGATTACAGGTGAGGGCCCCGCTCCTGGCCTAGGGTATATTTTTAAGGGTGGCATTGCAACTCTGGACAAGTCACTTAACCTCCGCAGATTACAATGTTGCAAATGATCCCATCTTCCTCAACTGTACAATGTGATAGGAACATGTCCTGAACAGAGCTGGACTGATGGCCCAGCAGGGCCTGGCCACACAGTAGGCCTGGGGAGCCCTGACTGTTACTGCGCAGGGAGCTGCTTGCAGAGCTTGTTTTCAATCATGGGCTTGGCAGGGACCTGCCGATATCCCAGGGGACAGGGTCTCATGAGAATGTGTAATCCCAGCCCAAAGAGGAGACCCCAGGACTCTATCATTGCCAGTGGGGCGAGTGGCTGCTGGAGCAGGGCTTTGTTGGAATAAACTCCTTCAAGCTCCAGGCCGAATGCCCAGAGTGGGTTTGCAGGTATGGTTGTGAGGCTGGCATGGTGCTCCCATCTGCAGTCTCTTGGGATGGGGCACCTGTATGGTAGAGAGTCTGGGTGGAGAGACGATGAGGATGGGGATGAATCCAGGACCGCAGACAGGGCAGTTCCATGGATGATTTTCTTCGAGGTACCTTTAAGTCAGTTCAACACTGGGCTTTGCAACCTTTGAGGTGTGCAGGTAGGAGTTACCTGTGGCAGTGTGGGATGCTCTTGTTAAGTGCAGACTCGGATTCAGCAGGTCCAGGGTGGGGCCTGAAATCCTGTGTTCCTAACAAGACCTCATCATGGATATGGAGGGCAGGTACCTCACCTCTCCTGTGGACCCAGCTTTTAAGGAGTCAGGAGAAGAAGGTTCAGTCCCAGCTGCCACCATTCTAAAGTCCCCTACTGCTGCAGCATATGGGATATGCCAGGAGGAGCTGGCTGTGGTGGGCCATCCCAGGCCATCAGACAACTTGTAGTGGGTGAAGAAGCAATATGCATGGCCAGAAGAAACTCCCATGGACCCTGGGGTTAAGGCTGCGAGAAGCATGAGGAAGGGCAGCACTGAGAGTCATCAGGAAGAGGCAAGGTGATGGTCCTGACGCCGCCCTGTGTGGCCAGTCCCTTTTGGGAAGGCTGAATAAGTCCATTTCCTGTTCACTGCATGGGAAGCCAGCCCCTCTTCAGAGGTACTGATGGGGAGCCCTCCGTGTGATTCTGTAGACTCCTTTACTCCCATATACGTATTTTCTCACTCTGTGCACACACGCGTGCATGCACGCACACCCACGCACACACACCCACACACACGTCCTGCACACATCTATCTCTGATTTTGAGATGCACCTTTTTTTTTTCACATTTCAGCATCTCTGAACTCAATGGCACCCTACACCTTATTGGCCTGGCTTGATGCTGACATCCTTCAGCCCCAGGAAAGACCTGAAGGTCTCCAGGTCTTGAGGCACTTGGAACACCCCATCTGAGACCACTTTCACATGATTCCTCTGCTTGAGGAATTTAGGAGCACGCTGTGTGTATTCAGCCCCAAAACATGGTGAGTGCCAGCCTGCAGTTCAAATTCTCAGAGGAAGTTCCCGGTCCTCTGCCCAGTGCCAAGTTTGAGTCGTGTGAATTTCCTTAATGTCCCCTCCTGTGCAACCAGTTTATTCGGTGTTAGCCCTTACATCGGGGTCTGACCCTTTGCTTTCCAGTTTCCTACAAGAATATGCCATTAAACTGTCCATGTTGGGCATTTTTTTCTATTTGGTATATATTTGGTGCATCAGGGTTGATAGCTGAAGAAATAACTGGCATCACAAATAGACTAACAGTTATTTAATTTTTCCATTTAATACTTTAATTTTCCATAGGCCCAGCTTTTCAAGAAGTCCAATAGCTCCCAGTTCAAGTATCCTTTCCCTGGAGTAGATTGGGAGACTTGAGGGATATCTGTCCAAATGTATCTGTTTCTAACCTCCCATCTAGCCTGCTGGGTTGCCTATAGTTGTTACCACAAGGTGTTGCTGTTGAACAGATTCTGGTGCAGTCTGGTGCATGCTTGTCCACCTCTAGAGTGATCACTTGCTGGGCCAAGTCCCTCCCCTTAAGTGGTGGCTCACATTAAGGTTCCCAAGTTACAGCCTTTTAAATTCACCCTAATAAACTCATCCAGGCTGTTTAGATCTTCAGGGGCTTCCAGCCTCAAACACACATTGGGCCGAAACATGCCTGTACCACCAGCTCCAAGCCCTGTGTTGTATCTAGGTAATTGATCCAGATGCCTCTTCATTCTGAGCCTGTGGTGTCCTTTCCAGACAGCAGACCTCAGTCAAGGGCATCCCAACCCACCAGAGAGGTTCCAGGATCACAGACCCTCAAAAGGGGCAGCATTGAGGATTCAGTCTCTTTTCTACCCAGAAGCCCCATTAAGTATGTTGTATCACCTCCTCCCAGGGCTGTGTCTACATAACCCAGGGAAGCCATTTATGGAATGAAAATCTACACCTAGACAATGTGCTACACCATCCCAGCCAGAAAAAATTGTTGGCAACTTCCCTTGCCAAAAGTGCCTTGTATCATAAAATTTTATGCCATTATTTCTTTCTGGCTCAGGATTCTACCACCCTTCAAAGGATGGCATACAACTCCCACTGTGTGTGTGTGTGTGTGTGTGTGTGTGTGTGTGTGTGTAGAGGCTGTTCTTGAGGGCAATAGGTGAGTTTTTGTTTTGCTGTGTCAGGTCTACATGGTAAAGGAGAAAGGCTAGAATATGAGGATAGTATTAGGATAATGGATGGGAATATTTTAAAGCAATTCTGAGGTGGAAGGAACAGAGAGAAAAGCCTTGGAACAGCTGGAGAGAACTGTCTTCAAGGAAATGGACTAAGCTTTGTCTAGAATGTGCAAGATAAACTTCTCCTCTAGCTTCCCATGAAGATACTGGTGAGACTTTCAAGGGACCCCAGGAGCACCTCTGTTCCATACAGATGGGGAAATTGAGGACCAGAGGAGTGGCTTGTCCAAAGTGAGTTAGAGCCCTCAATGGCTTTTCCTATTAAAAATGAACCCCAGGCCAGGGGTGGCAGCTCACACCTGTAATCCCAGTGTTTTGGGAGGCTGGAGCAGGAAGATCATTTAAGGTCAGAAGTTTGAGACCAGCCTGGCCAAGAGAGAGACCCTGTCTCTACAAAAAAATTAAAAAACATGAGCCTGGTGTGGTGGTGTGCACCTGTAATCCCAGTTACTTGGGAGGCTGAGGCGGGAGGATGGCTTGTGCCCAGGAGTTTGAGGCTTTAGTGAACCATAATTGAGCCACTGCACTCCAGCCTGGGTGACAGAGCAAGACTATCTCAAATACCAAAAAAGAATAGGAAAAAGAAAAAAAGAAAGAAGGAGAAGAACCCCAAACAGCCCACCTTGAGCCATGGTGACCCCAAATCTCCAGCGTCCCTGCGGGGTCCCAGGCCGGCTCAGTGTAGGTATTCCCGCACAGTGAGCTCCTTCAGGGTGATGCCGCGGGGCATGGGCCTCCGGAGCTGGCTCTCCTCCAGCCTCTCCTGCAGAGACACGAAGTCCTTGCCCAGCGTGTAGGCCAGGCGGACCATGGTGTCCAGCAGAGGCGCGTAGTAGCGATGGCCTTCCCGGGCCTGCAGGCGCTGCAGGGCCCTCTCTCCGGCCGCAAAGGCCTCGGCAGGGCGGTCGAGGTCGCGGTGGCACAGCACCACGGCGCACAGGGCCGGGACGGCGGCCGCGGGGCAGTGGGCGGTGAGCTTCTCCTGCAGCGGCAGCACGCGCAGCAGCAGCTCCAGGGCGCGCGGGTACTGGCCAGCACGCAGGCAGCCGAAGGCCTCGCGCAGCTCTGGCCGCGTGAGGAAGTCCAGGAACTCCTGGGAGCGCCGCACGCAGCGGATGGCATAGAGCAGGCCCAGGTAGTCCTGCAGCGCGCGCCGACGCTCGCAGATGATCTCCTCCGCGAAGTTCCCGGTCAGGTGCTTCCTGGGGAACTCCACATCCTCGATCTCCTCCCTGAACGTCTTCAGCAGCGCTTTCTGGAGCTTCGCGAAGTCGGAATAGCGCCGTTCCAGGACGGCCTTGTTGTTGTCAAAGCTCCCGGTCTGGATGACGATGATCTGGTACACCTAGGGCGCAACGCAGAGAGAGCTGTGGCCACCTTCCAGCGGGGACTGCGGTGGACGGAGCGCCCCGAGAATAAAATTAACCAGGCCAGTGTAAAGTGTGCCCTAAAAACGGGTGATCCTTATATGCAACTCTGTTTGTTTATTTATTTATTTATATTTGGAGACAGGGGCTCGCACTGTCACCCCGGTTGGAGTACAGTGATGCGATCATAGCTCACTGCAACCTTGAACTTCTGGGTTCAAGTGATCCGCCCACCTCAGCCTCCCGAGTAGCTGGGACTACAGGCACACCCACTGTCCGGCTGATTTTTTTTTTTTTTTTTAAAGATATGGGGTCTGGCTGTGTTGCCTAGGCTGATCTTGAACTCCTGGACTCAAGCGATCCTCCTACCTGGGCCTCCCAAAGTGCTGGAATTACAGGCCTGAGCCACTGCACCTGGCCCAATTCTGTTTTAAATTGCTATTGGCATCAGTTGAGTCAACCCTGAAACAACAGCACAGCAAGGTGGGGACATCCGGGAGGAGAAAGGGCAGGGGGACCTGGTCTACAGGCTGCTGGGGTCCCTCTTGGCTTTGCTTGCTAAAACTGGACCTCCATTTTCTGAGCTAGGATGCTGTGTTTTCCACGTTTCACACTTGGGAGTTAGTTTTGGGTACAACGTAACATCATCTAGGTACACCAGTGATGGCGTTATATGGCAAGAAAATCATTCCTTTTCAATTCTCTTTCAAGAGAATCCTGATTAAGGGCAATTATATATTAAGGGCAATTATAACCCATGCATCTGATGCCAAAGCCGGATTGCATGGGTTATAATTATAGCCCCACCACGGTCTAGCTGTGTGGTTTTAGATTGGTAATTTAATCTCTCCGAGCCTCAGTCTTCTCATTCATAAAACGAGGACAGGCATAGTGCCTACCTCACCCAGTGAGGATTAAATGAGACAATGCCCTGAAACCACATGGAGTTGTGCCCAGCATGCCATTGGCAGTCAGCAGTAGCTTTGTTATTATCCTGGTCCCAGGGAAGTGAAGGAGGATGAAGTGCGGCTCTCAGGACATCTTGAACATCTCCCTAACACAAGCTAAAATTCCAGTCTAACAGGGAGAGCAGCCCCTGGGCTCAGGGCCTTCCCAAAGCCACAGTACCCAGCTAGAATTTAACAGCAGCGGGTAGCTTTCCTTGTATTGACTGACCTTTCCAGTATGGCTTTTCTAGTTACTTTTTTTTATGCCATGTGATGTTGGTTTTCCCTTTAAGGTATTTCTCTTCGAAATAAATGTATCTTGTGTTTTAAAAATGTGATCCAATTTAAAGAAAACAATAAGTAATAATAATTATAATGGATACAGGGATATGGCAAAATTGGTGAAGAAAGGATACAGGTGACCTACACCGGATAAGATGGGATGAAACCGGACTATTTCCTTCTTAGGACCAAGAAGCATGAGTTGTATGGTTGGAATCCTCACAGACGCTAGCAGTACTGAGCCTGAAATCTTACTCTTTGGCTGTTTTCTCTGGAAGAATGCTGTGAGTTAGAGTGTGTCGACCCATTTCATAGTTGGGAAAGCTGAGGCCCCACAAGATTTGTTCAGGGGCAGGAAGGAAGCAGAGTGAAAGAGGCGCCGCCATTTCCTGATCTCTGCTTACCACAAACTTGGAGACTTTTCTCTCCTCGATGCGAGCTGAAGCGATCTCAAAGAGCAGTTTGACGTGCTTCCAGCGGCATTTCTCATTCTGCCAGTACTGCTGAAGCTCCCGCGTGGTCATGCTAGAGTTGGAGCTCAGGCCGCTGTGCATGTCTGGAAGGACAGCACCCTTTAGGATCTGCACCCGGTCAGTGCACTTTCGAGGCAAGGGCTTGGGGAGATGGCTAGGTGGATCTGAGATGGGACATCAGGACTCCTAAAGAGTGCTGAATATCTTTCACTCCCACCCCACCATTTATAGGACCAAGCAGGGCATCAGGCAGACCTCTGTGTCCAGTCTGGCTGAATCCACCCTCCAACTGACAATCTCAAATAGCCCATCATCCCCAAGTGGTTTCTCAGCTGTGAAATGCAGTGCAGGCACTTTGCATCATCCGGCTTTGGTCTGCGGATTGGCCTTGGTGAAATCCCTGCTCCCGACAAGCAGAGACCGTGGCTTGTGTGTTTCTGAGCTCCCTGCACCCCTGACTTCATGATTGTTGCCAGGACTTCTTGAGCACACATTGGTGGGCAGGGGAGGGGGGAGTGATGAGGATGCTGTGTTCCAGCCTCAGCGGGCTGGACCTTCCTAACGTTCCCATCTAACTGCCCACGTGCCAGGCTTTTCTCAGACACACACTCCTCTGCTTTGCATCCAACCCTCTATTTCCATGCCTGGAAAATGAACACGTCTTTCTTAAGCCCCACTTGAGCTCTGAACCTCTCTGAGCTTCTTGAGAAGTGCAAATAATTGCGCATTTTATAAGGCCATGGGTCCCAGCTCTTTTCCAATCAACCCTTCAAGACCCAACCCCCGCACCACTGCAAATGCCCCTTGGCATTAGAATAAGAACCTCCCACCTTGCTCCTATAGCCTTTTTTTGTGGCACGTCTAACTACTTTTCACTGATCTGTTTCTCTGCCAAACCTCAGGGCCAGTGCAGTGTTTGATCTGTTCTGTTCCTGCTTCCGCAGTGCCCTGCATAGGGCCGGGAACAGAGCAGGTGTTCAACAGGGGAATCTTGAAGGATTGTAAGAAAAGGTTTGTTCCAGGAGATGGCGCTACAGCAGATGCTGTCCTTGCCCATGGCTGGGCCATGCCTTTTTGGCACTCACTTTTCCAGAACATGCTACTGGCTTCCCTGAAGGCTTTCCAGGGCGGTAGCAGCAGACCCAGGAGCGTCCCTTCTCTGATGCAGGGAAGGACTGGTAGATAATAGCCTGGCTTCCTCACCCCTGGGATAGGACAACCCAGAGATATGTTCCAGGGTCTCCCAGAAGACCCCTGCTGGAGTTGGGCCTCAGCCACCTACCATGAGCATCTGTTCACTGATGCCCTGCACTGGCCTCCTGCCCTGCGCTCCCTCGATTGCCCACTCTCCTGCTGTGACTCCTAGGACCATCTCCCGGATAAACAGCTTGCACAGATCTGTGTCTTAGTGTCTGCTTTGGGATAACCCAAATTACAAGAGCTGCCCAGGCCTCTTGCTGCATCTGCCAAAGCGACCCACATTTGTACTTTGAATGTCTTCCGACATCTCCCCCAGACCGAGTCTCAGGCCTCCAGCCCACCTAAGTGCCCATCAGGTCCCGGGTGCAGGAGGTCAGGGCCAGTGGCTGGTGCTTCCTGCTTGGTCCTTGCAGTGCAGTGGGTTATGGGTCCCGTCCAGCCAGGGCTCCCAGGGTGCTCTGGACTTGCCATGCTCCAAGTCTGCCAGAAGAACAAGAGAACAGTGAGTACCCCCTCCAACTGGGGTTCCCCTTGGCTCCTGGAGTGCCTAGGAGCTGTGTCATGTCCCCTGCTGGCAAGCAGAGGGAATGACAATGGCCCCACCGCTCTCCCAGCTGCCAGATCCCAAACCTGGGTCTGCCCCTTTGCTGCGCAGGAAGGCAGAGAAGACCCTTCGCCTACTGTGATGATCCATGTGTTATTGAGGTGGTCCTTACGTACTGCTCAGAGTTTTAAATGAGATGATTTCAAGCAAAAGGATTGGCTTTAGCGATTACTTGAGAGAAAGATGCTGGCTTGTCCAGATACTCAGTTTTACGTTACACATGTAAATGATGTCTGTGTTCAGGCTGGGCATGGTGGCTCATGCCTATAATCCCAGAACTTTGGGAAGCAGAGTCAGGAGGATCACTTGAGCCTAGGAATTTCAGACCCACCTGTGCAATGTAGTGAGACCCTGTCTCTAGAAAAAATGTAAAAAAATTATCCAAGGGTGGTGGTGCACACCTGTGGTCCCAACTACTCAGGAGGCTGAGGCAGGAGGATCCCTTAAGCCCAAGAGACTGAGGCTGCAGTGAGCTATGATGATGCCACTGCACTCCAGTCTGGGTGACAGAACGAGACCATCTCAAAAAAAAAAAAAAAAAAACGAAAGAAAGAAAAGAAATCTCAGTATTCAGCGCAGAGCAGGTAGATACGCTGGTATGAATCCTCTATAGATCAATCAATCCATTATCCATCTATCAGCAAAATTAGTTGTACCGATTTCACCTAGGTTCTTCACAGCCCCTAATTTAGTTTAATGCTCACAAAAATCTATCATTACCACCAAATAACAGATGAGGAAACTGAGGTCTAGCTTAAAGTCATGCAGCTGGTGAGTGTGGGCAACAAGCAAAGGTGAGTTTTTCCCCAGTGCTCAGTGACATTCCAGTATGTGCCTGATACCCAGCACACACGTTGGCACTAGCCTGACTGCTGGCTGCAGTCAGGAGTTTTCTTCTCCCTTTTATAAGGGAACTGAGACTCAGAGTTGCCAAAAATGAAGAGCTGGTGAGTGGTGGGCAGGATACAGACCTAGGCTGGGTTGACTTCAAAATTCTCTCCACCTTACTCAGGGAGGGAGAATAGGCAGCTGGCATCTGGTTCACATAATAACTCTGTCTGTGACCCAGATAAGTGGATGAGATGACCTTGTGGCTGACAAGTTGCTCCACTTCTCTGTGTTGCTGTTTCCTATAAATTGGGGATAATAACAGAACCCACATTCACAAGGCTGGGGAGAGGATTCCAACAGACAGACTCTGAAGCCTCAGCTCAGGACCCTGTCCACCCCAGACACTGTGTAGTAGCCCTGCTCTTACTGTCCAGCAAATGCTAGATGCTTCCAGAAATATTTGTGAAATAAATGACTAAGTTAAGGTGGACTGGAATAGAATTACAAATGTTTGAGACAACTTCAAAAAAGGGACAATTAAAACATTAGCTCAGCTGGAGCGAGTAGCTGGTATACCAGTTTGGCACAGAAATTCAAGACGAGGAAGGTGCAAGTGACCTCACTTTTCTCTTACCACGACCTGTGGAAGCTGCCAGTGGAACACAGAGGTAGAGCTGGGACTTGAACTCTAGTCTGTGGGATTCTGGGCCCTTGGTCTGACCCCTGGGCTGACTATAGCCTAGAGAAAGAGCCAATGCCTCCCTGGAACCCTGGCACTCCCTGAGCACAGATGGGAGTGGGGCGGTGGGGGGGGGGGGGTCATGCATGTCCCTGAGCACAGCTAGCACCTGTCCCTTCCTCCACGGTGAGAGTCCGTGGCCTGGGAAAGGGGAGGTCAGCTGGGTCCTGGAGCCTGCACTTCAAAGGGAAGTGCTTGCTGTGTCAGGTGAAAGGAACCCTGTGGTTCTGCACAGCCGTCCAGTGGATGGCCCTCAGGGACCCTTGGTCCAACCTCACCTTTTACAGATGGGTAAACTGAGGCAGGCACAGGGGCCTGGCTGGCCCAGGGCTGCACATTCTTGAGCATGCTATCACAGACACCTCTTGCTTGTCTCTTGTCCCTGTCAGGGAGTCAGGAGACATCGCCTTCCATCCTGAACAATCGTGTGACCTTAGGCAAGTTCTTTACTAGCTCTAGGCCTCAGTTTCCCCACCTGAAAAGTGTGGCTACAAGCCCCGTCCTGTTAAGAAGATGATGGATGACTGCAGTGGAGGTTTCCTATATTCTGATAGATGCCTAGGTAAGATAGCCGGTGGTCTACGTGATTCTTGGTGGCTGATATTCTTGGGGGCCCAGGGTTTTCCTTGGGCACTCCTATGCTCAGCACTGCTGTAAAATGGGTGATGGAGAGTGGCCTTGGTCACAGGAGACCCAGCCTTTGCAGATCCATTTCATGACCAGGCAGCTGGCTCCAGGTCAGAAGCAGGGCACTGTTGGACCAGACACCCTGTAAGACCCTAGAAATGATGCCTCGACTGGACACTCCAGTAAAGACTGAGAAAGCTGATCATGAAACCAGGCCTTAGAATAAAAATCAGGCCGGGTGCAGTGGCTCATGTCTGTAATCCCAGTACTTTGGGAGGCTGAGGTGAATCACCTGAAGTCAGGAGTTCAAGGCCAGTCTGACCAATATGGTGAAACCCCTTCTCTACTAAAATTACAAATTTAGGACCTGCTGGCATGTGCCTGTAGTCTCATCTACTCGGGAAGCTGAGGTGGAAAAATTGCTTGAACCCGGGAAGCAGAGGTTGCAGCGAGCTGAGATTGCGCCACTGCACTCCAGCCTGGGCAACAGAGCGAGACTCTGTCTCAAAAAGAAAAAAAAAAAAGAGAGAATAAAATGAAATTCAGCAGCCACAGTCAGCTCCCATATGTTGTCATGTTGTCTTACGGGTTTCATTGGGAGTCACCCATTTAAAGAGGAGGCGGAAGGGAAGAGTTGTGCATTGGTATATTCACTGGGTCGTGGGTAGCTTCCCATCCCTCTCCAGGCCTCAGTTTCCTCATCTGTGAAATGGGAAAGCAATCCTGTCTCTCTAAAAGCTCCCTGGGGACAGCCACATAGACGGTTCCACGGACCCTTTCCTCCCCTCTCTTCACCCTCTGTAACAAAGCTTTCTCGACTTTATAACAAAATACTGCAAGTGTTGGTGCTGTTGGCCTGGGGGCCTGTAGTTGGCCCAGGGGACAGAGCAGCTTTCCAGCCCCTGCTACCCTACAGCCCCGTGTGCATAGACAGTCATTTTCCTCCTCCTGTCCCCAGGTGCCCTGACCACCCGCTCTCCAAGAGCTGCCTGCCAAGTCCAGTCCTTCTTTTGCTGGGCACGCAGAGGTCATGCTATCTTTCTGAGAGCCTGCAGAGGACTTTTCATGGGGGATGAACCTCCAGAGGGGTGAAATAAAGCACCTGGCTCACTGCGGGAGATAGGAGATCCCAGGACGCTCGATGTGTGGCTGCCTCTGTTGGGGAAACGATGGGTACCCTCCGACACCTAGATGCTCAGATGAGAAGACTTGCCAAAGCCAGGGGCTCCCAGCCCGAGTGTGTGTAACAATCCCCTGGCAGGTGGGGGTGGGGGTGGAGGTGGGATACCAAGGGCTTATTCAAAAGCAGGTTTCCTGGCTCCTAACATAGGAAAGTGCCTTCGAACAGGCCTGGATTCTGTATTTTCCATGAGTCCCCTAAGGCTATGCTGACACGGGTTCCCTGACACTGTTTTTTGAGAAACACAGGTGTGGTGACTTATTCTCCAGGCCCAAGATGGGTTGTATAAATGTCTAGCATTTCAAAAGGAATGGAGGTGATGGAGGGTCCAGGAGCTGCCCCCCCCCCCCGCCTCAGTGTGCTAAGGAGAGCTCCAGACACAGCAGCTGTCACCAACCCTTCCCTGTCCCACTCTGCCCCCAATAGGTGCCAGGCAGGGTCCCAGGAGGGGGGACTCAGCCCACAGCGGACAGAGGACAGCTGAGCTTGGGATCAAATACTGACCTCCAGTCTCTGGGGCTGTGTGTGTCCAGGGGTCCAGGAGGAGTGTCACATGGCTCCTTCAAGCTCTCGGTTCCAAGCTCCGGTGACCAGCTGAGGGGCTGCCACTTTGCTAAGTTCCCCGTTTGAAAACAGGAAACAGGCTGTGAGAAGGCTGTGACGTGCTTCCGATCGCCCCAGCCCATTGGCTGGTGAAACATGATATGTTGAACTCAATTGGCAGCCTGTCAGCTGTACCTACTTCTCCTTCTGGGCAGTGCAGGGAAGGACAAGGTATTGGGGGGGCCAGCCTTGTAGGGTCTAGGTGAGCCTTACTCTCCCTGCAGCCTTGCAGCAGTCTGGCTGTCCTTCGAGTCCCTGTCGATCTCTGGCATTCAGCATCAGCTCCCAGAGCCCTTTAACATTCATTATTCCACTCTATTCAAGATGGCGGCCACCATGCCCCATGAACAGATGGGAAAGCCGAGGCTTGGATCACAGAGCTGGTGTGACACAGAGCCAGTGACAGACATAGAAGAGCAGTGGGGTGGAATTACAGTTCCATCTGCTGCCTTTTCTCTGAGCAAAGCTGTATCTATCACCACCAACAGAAAGTATCAGGGAAGCGAAACTCCTCGGCACTGGTGTGATTCTCAGCCACCCATCTTTGTGGCTTTGAGGGCAAGAGACTGAAATCAGACAGAAAATAGAACCGCGCTGGCTGGTCCAGAAGTTTACTGAGTTTCTTCAGAGCCATGATTCCCTTCTTCCCCATTAGAGGTAGTCAGAGTCCTGATTCAGATGGGGGTTACTTCTTTGTTTTTCCTTAGAAATTTACCACCTGTGAGATCCCCAAACAACTGAGTTTCATTTTACTTGTTTGTGAATCTTATATAAATTGAGCCATGTATACTGTGTGTATTCTCCAGTGCCTTGCTCCTTTCATGCAACATTTACATGTGTAAGATTCACTGATGCGTCTCTGTGTAGCTAGTTTTCTCATTTCTGTTGTTGTGTTGCTACATTATTATTATTACTATTTATTTTACTTCAAGTTCTGGGACACGTGCAGGCTTGTTATATAGGTATATACGTGCCATAGTGTTTGCTGCACCTATTAACGCGTCATCTAGGTTTTAAGCCCTGCATGCATTAAGTATTTGTCCTAATGTTGACCCTTCCCTTGTCCCCCGCCCCCTGACAGGCCCCGGTGTATGATGTTCCCCTCCCTGTGTTCATGTGTTCTCATTGTTCAACTTGTACTTATGAGTGAGAACATGTGGTGTCTTGTTTTCTGTTGCTGCATTATTTAAATACATCACTATTTATCTTTTTTTTTTTGCCTTTTGATGCTCACTTGGATTGTTCCTAGGATGGCCATCATGATCAGTGCCACTGATGATATTCTTACAGATTTGTCCAATTCCATGTACTTATCCGAGGTGAAATTGCTGGGTCTTAGAGTATGGATAGCATCAACTGTGCCAGATTATGCCAAATATTTTCCAGTGTGGCTGTGCCATTTTATATTCCTACCAGCAGCATATGAGAGTTCCAGGTACTCCACCTTCTCACTTGCACTTGATATGGTCATTATTATATTATTATTTTAGAGACGGGGTCTCGCTCTGTCACCCAGGCTGGAGTGCAGTGGTGCCATAGTAGCTCACTGCAACCTGGAACTCCTGGGCTCAAATGATCTTCTCACCTCAGCCTCCTGAGTAGCTAAGACTACAGGTATGTCACCATGGTTGGCTAATAAAAATTTTCTTTTTGTAGAGATTGACAATGATGGCCACTATGTTGCCCAGGCTGGTCTTGAACCCCTGGCCTCAAGTGATCCTCCTGTCTTGGGCTCCCAAAGTGCTGAGATTACCAGTGTGAGCCACTATGCCTGGCCTGGTCCGTGTTTTTTAGTGTGTCACTGCGTTAATGTGCAGTGGTCTCTCATCATGGTTTTAAGTTGCATTTCCATAAGGACTAATGATGTTTAGCATCTTTTCCTGGGCTTATTCGCCATCCTTATGCCTTCTCCCGTGAAGTGTCCTTTCAAAGCCATTGCTCATTATGGATTGGATTATTTTAATGGTTTGTAGGTGCTCTTTACATATTCCTTTGGGTTTATGTGCTTCTCAATATCCTTTTCCATCCTACAGTCTGCATTTTGTACTCTCTTAATGGAGTTTTGTGATGAATAGAAGTTGCCAACTTTAAAGAACCCTATCAGTCCTTTGATATGGCTGAACTTCGACTCTCCTAATTGCAACACGAAATTTAGTAAAGTCCTCCTGGTACCAAAGCATTCTGCACTGAGCCAGTGTCATCCTCGGTGGGCATGGAGGTTTTTCCTGCAATCACTGCTGCAACCTCATAGGCTTGTGAGGCTTAAGAGGTGTTCAGATGAGCCAAGCGCTTAGAACAATGCTGTTCTGTGCTGTGCAGGTGCTGGCAGTTATTGTTCTAAGACCTTTATTGCTTGCCTTTTTCATTGGGGGCTCTATAAGGTCCCTGTTTACCTATTGGCCTTGCTTATTGACATGGCCTTGCAATCCCACCTCTGCAGTGCTGTCACTGTCATTAAGGATCTCCACATCTGCAAAGGTCTGTCTCTGGGCAGAGCTCATGGGGAGAGCCATGAATGGTGTGCCTCTGGTCTGCTAGCCAGCATGCTCCATGAGTGGAGGGGCTGTAGCTCAGTCATCTCCATCTCCCCCTGCCCGGCAGAGGACCTGGTGGTGTGGTTCCCTGCGTAGAGTGAGGCTGGAATGTCCTGTGTCCTCTCCTCCCTGGGTTGTGTCAGTTTTCTTGCCTATTCTCTGCCCAGGCCTGGAATCTGTGAGGCACCAGGGTGGACTCTAAGTCCTTCTTGGCAGCCCTGTGGGCCTCTCACTCTTCAGAAGATAACCGCAGGGGGAACATGTGTGGTTGCTGCAGCTTCCTCTTTTGGGGAAACGAGAAGTTTCTTGGAAACCCCCTGACAGAGAGGGCTCTGGCCTGCATAGGTAGGATCCAGCTGAACCAGAGGGACCAGAAGATGCCATACCTGGTCACCTGTTGATGTTGCTTTTTCTCTGCAGCCAGAATTCTCTGTGGTGGAGGCAGAGGACATTCTCACACTGCAGAATGGGCGGCTTAAACAACAAACATCTCTTACTCACAGTTTTGGAGGCTGGGAAGGCCAAGATCAAGGTGTTAGAGATTCAGTGTCTGGGGAGGGCTTGATTCCTGGTTTGCAGATGGCCGTCTTCTTGTTGTGTCCTCACATGTCACTCAGGAGTCTCTACCCTCATGGCCTCATGACCTCCTAAAGACCCCACCTCATGATCACATTGTGTGTTAGGATTTCAATATAGGAATTATATGAATTTGGAGGGCACACAGTCAGTTCATCACAGGCAGGCAAGGTCCCATTGTCATGTGGGGGACACAGGAATGGGCAGCCTCCATTGCAGTGCTGAAGCCAGATGGCGAGGAGGGTCACCAAGAGGCACCAGGAGTGAGAAAGGGGAAATGTTGGTAGTGTCTCAGACTCTGATGCCTCTCCTGGCATTCAAAATCAGAGCAGGTCTCCCTCTCGCTTGGACCCACTCTTCAGTGGCCTCCCATCGCATTCAGAGAATCCAGGCTCTCTACTGAGGCTTCCGTGACCTGCTGCTTGTTTCCCTTCTCGTCACTCGGTCCACTCCCAGTGTCACTTGCCACACGCCAGCCGACCCAGACTGCGTTCTGTTGCTCAGATGTGCCTTTGTCTTTGCAGTTCGTTCAGCTGGGAATACCCTCTGCTTGGTTTTTCCATCTCTGGCTTTCTCATCGTTAGGCAGCACCTCCGTTGTCGCTCCTCCCTGCAGTCTTCTCCTGACCCCTCTGTTGGGATCTGTCCTTGTTTTGCTTATCTGTATACTTGTGTATTTCATGCCTCAAATGCCATGATGGCAGGGACCTTGTTTGTATCATCATCTGTGCCCCCAGCGCCTAGCACAGTGCCTGCCGCAGAGCGGGTGCTCAGTAAATAATTGTGTGAATGAATGAATGACGGGGTGAATGCAGAGAAGTGGACACCTGGGCTGTGGCTGCAGCTCAGCCCTGACTCACTGTGGGATTCAGGGCAGGCCACCACCCCTGTCTGATTTTTGGCTTTCCTAATTGCAACATGAAGTTAAATGATGTCCTTTTAGCACCAAAGCATTCTACATTGAGCAAACAATTGAGTACTAGAAGCTACCCCCACTACCGCTCCGGATGCCTGATATGCTTGGAACTGCAGCACTGATACACCTTCTTTGAGAAATTCAGCAAGAATGTATCAATCCCAGGTGTGCCTCCCAGCGCTGGTATGCAAACCGTAACAGGCCAGGTGTTTTTCACAGGTGACACAAAATTTGGTCATGTCAATCTTGTTTTTCTGCAGCTGGATGTGCCCGTATAGCCTTTTATTAAGTTTCAAAGGTCCTTAATATTGTAGGGTTTAAAAACTGGGGCTGCAGACAGAATGCACTATGGGGCACTGCTGTGGTTGTGTTGAGACATAACAGGGTTGGGCTGGGCACAGGCCCATGTATTTCTACACTGCAGGCCCCGGGACTTTCAATCACTATTACTGGACTTCTTGGTCTTCACAAACCTCGGGACTGTCAGAACTGCTGATTGTGTAAAGATTCACGGCTAAGATTTGGAGAAAATCCAACTTTTCTTATCAGGAGACAACACACATCCTGTTCTTGCGACATCTGTTTGGGCAAAGGTGTTGATGAGCAGTTTGGATGGGGTTAAGTGCCATCAGGGCCATTGAATATCATTTTAAGGTTTGTGCCTTGCACAGATGACCCAGAAAATGGCAGCAGTGGGCCAGGCATGGTGGCAGATCACGAGGTCAGGAGATTGAGACCATCCTGGCTAACATGGTAAGACCCCAGGTCTACCAAAAATACAAAAAATTAGCTGGGCATGGTGGTGCATGCCTGTAGTCCCACCTACTCAGGAGGCTGCGATAAAAGAATTGCTTGAACCTGGGAGGGAGAGGTTACAGGGAGCCAAGATCGCACCACTGCACTCCAGCCTGGGTGACAGGCAGCAGTGATGCTAAAATCCAGCCTTGGCTCTGCTGTTCCAAGCTGACACCCGTGACCATGTAGATAATGCTGGCACTTGTGTCTACATATTGGAAAAGAAGAATCATATGGTCTGCCATGAGTTGATTA